GTATGCCCAGGGACTCCAGGAGGCGGGCGGTGTCAGACGTGGTGACGGCGTGGTGGGGGGGTCCCGGCGAGGATTTTGCAGGGTGGGTCGCCCGTAGAATCATGGGGAAAAAAACATATGACCAGGGACTCCAGGAAGCGGGCGGTGTCAGACGTGGTGAGGGCGTGGTGGGGGTGTCCCGGCGATGATTTTGCAGGGTGGGTGGCGTTTGAAAATTTGCGAAAAACGCATGCCCAAGGACTCCAGGAGGCGGGCGGCGTCAGACGTGGTGAGGGCGTGGTGGGGGGTCTCGGCGAGGATTTTGCAGGGTGGGTGGCCCCTAAAATTATTTGAGAAACGTGTGCCCAGGGACTCCAGGAGGCGGGCGGCGTCAGACGCGGTGAGGGCGTGGTGGATGGGCGGGGGGGTCCCAGCGAGGATGTTGTAGGGTGGGTGGCCTGAAAACTTATGAAGGACAAAAAAAAAACGTATGGCCAGGGACTCCAGGAGGCGGGCGGTGTCAGACGTGGTGAGAGCGTGGTGGTGGGGGGGGGCCCGGCGAGGATTTTGCAGGGTGGGTGGCATTTAAAACTAATGAGAAACGTATGCCCGGGGACTCCAGGAGGCGGGCGGTGCCAGACGTGGTGAGGGCGTGGTGGGGGGGGGTCCCCGTGAGGAATTTGCAGGGTGGGCGGCCTTTAAAAATGTATGAAAACGCATGCCCGGGGACTCCAGGAGGCGGGCGGTGTCAGACGCGGCGAGGGCGTGTTTAGGGGGTCCCGGCGAGGATTTTTCAGCGTGGGTGGCTTGCAAAAGCAAAAGAAAAACGTGCGCCCAGGGATTCCAGGAGGCGGGCGGTGTCCGACGTGGTGCGGGGGTCCCGGCGAGGGTTTGCAGGGTGGGTGGTCCTTGAACAATTTTTTTAAACGTATGCCCAGAACTCCAGGAGGCGGGCCGTGTCAGACGTGGTGAGGGCGTGGTGGCGGGGTCCCGGCGAAGGGTTTGCAGGGTGGGCGGCCCCTAAAGACGCATGAAAATCGTGTGCCATCGGGCTCCAGGAGGCGGGCGGTGTCAGACGTGGTGAGGGCGTGGTGGGGGGGGTCCCGGCGAGGCTTTTGGAGGGTGGGTGGCCCCCAAAAACATGTGAAAAACGTATGCCCACGGATTCCAGGAGGCGGGCGGTGTCAGACGTGCGAAGCGGGGGGGCCCTGCGAGGGTTTTGCTGGGTGGGTGGCCCCTAAAATCGCATGAAAACGTGTGCCCACGGACTCCAGGAGGCGGGCGGCGTCAAACGTGGTGACGGCGTGGTGGGGGGGTCCCGGCGAGGATTTTGCAGGGTGGGTGGTCCTTAAAAACAAACGTAAACCGTATGCCCAGGATCTCCAGGAGGCGGGCGGTGTCAGACGTGGTGAGGGCGGGGCGGGGGGGTCCCGGCGAGGATTTTGCAGGTTGGGTGGCCCCTAAAAACATATAAAAAAATCGCATGCCCAGGGACTGCTGGAGGCGGGCGGTGTCAGATGTGGTGATGGCGGGGGGGGGGGTCCCGGCAACGATGTTGCAGGTTGGGTGGCCCCTAAAAACATATGAAGCACGTATGCCCAGGGACTCCACGAGGCGGGCGGTGTCAGACGTGGTGGGGCGTGGTGGCGGGGTCCCGGCGAGGATTTTGCAGGGTGGGTGGCCAATACAAATTTATGAAAGACGTGTGCCCAGGGACTCCAGGAAGCGGGCTGTGTCAGACGTGGTGAGGGCGTGGAGGGGGGGTCCCGGCGAGGATTTTGCAGGGTGGGTGGCCGTTAAAAAGTTATGAAAATCGTATCCCCAGGGCCTCCAGGAGTCGGGCGGTTTCAAACGTGGTGAGGGCGTGGTGGGGGGTCCCCGCGGGGATTGTGCAGGTTGGGTGGCCCCTAAAAACATATGAAACACGTATACCCAGAGGCCCCAGGAGACTGGCGGTGTCAGACGTGGTGGGGCGACCAAAGGCCTCGGGAGGCTGGCGGTCTCAGACGTGGTGGAGGCGTGTGAGGGAGTCCCAGCGAGGATTTTGCAGGGTGGGGGGGGATCGGTTCCGAGTGAGAAATTGTTTGGTCGGGGGTCCGAAGAACGGAGCAACGACAAATCCAGAGGGTCAGGATGCCAGGGCAAGGCGGAGGATCAGTTTGACAGGAAAGTGCAGGTATGGATTCACGGAGAGACCAGAGTGTTTAAGGAGACTATTCTCCAGCTGCGAAGGATGCCGCACACGCTACAGGGGTAGGCGGATTTTCCGAAAGGTTTGGGGGTCTTGGGCCCCTTCAATTAATTTTCCCGCATGGGGTGGGTGGGTTTTGTCCCAGATGTGGGGTGGGGGGCGGGGGGGTCCAAACTTGCCGTTTTGTTTGGGGGTCGGGAGGGGGTTGAGAGGGGGGAGGGGCGCCATGGTTTTTCACCTCCCTTGTATGTGTTGTTCGGGGGGGCTTTGTATATATATATATATATATATATATGTATATATATATATATAACTATATATAGAACCCGCGCTTCACACAATGTGGTCAGGCCAGCGACGGTGTATCGCGTTCCCTCGTTGTTGTTTAGTTCCCAGACATGTATGATACAGTTAACTATGTTATGTCAAAGTCTGCCTGGTATGTCGTGATGCCAATCGCTTTAACCAGCTCTGTTCAGTCGTAGTGCACTTTGAGGTGTTCCATTCGAGCATGTTGTCTTCCATGGTGTGTCCAAGTTGTGGTATGGGCTGTCATGTGATATGTCATACCTGTATGTGGTATACGCGCTCCTTGTTTGTTATATGATGAGTTATGAGTTTGTTCGGTCGTGCCGTTTGTTATGTAATAGTATGTTTCCGCCGTGTTTAGTATGGTCCACCATGTCATCCAAGTGTCGGAGCGAGATTCCCTTATATGATTACATGCTATCATATGTGGCTGCCTTGCGTTTGTAGTTTTAACCTTGTCTTTTGGCGGTAGCGGCGTGACCTGGACGGCGTGACGCCGCGACGCCGCGACGCCGTGCGTGTCGTCGAAGACGCGAGGCGGGCCACTCAGGGACCACTGGAGGTTTTTGGGATATGGTGGCCGCGGTATGCAGGGTGGGTGAGGCGGGTTGGGGGCCCCGTTCGCCGTTCGTGAAATCAGTCGGTCGCATGTCTTACATAGTCGAAGACGTTCTATTCGATTCTGCCGTAATAAGCTTTCGTGCGCTAACTGTTGAGATGTTCTGTGATGTCTTCTTGCATCACCGTGGCTTGCATAATGTGTTGTTCTGGTTGATTATACGTCATTTCTTGCATGGCAGTACATCAAGATCTACGCTATTCGATTGTTGTTTATCACGTGTGTTGTTATTTCCCAGCCATCCTGTAGGCGATATCACGAAATTGTATTTCACCATCATAAATTGCACACGGCGCTCCAATGTTCATAGTATGCTGTGTTATGATGTGTTCTTGTTGTCTGTACATGATACTTCTCTATCGTGAGTCGTGGTAGATGATTTTCCGTTATGGGAGTTGTTTATATTCACGTTTTTTCTATTGTTTAATGTTATCTTCCAGTTGTAGCAGTAGTGGTCGTAGGGCGGGTACTATTAGAAGTGGTCGTAGTTGTGGCAAAAGGCGTCGGGATACCCGATGGGTATGGGGGCTTGATGTTTGCGGTATGCAGGATGGGCGGGTCTGGAGTTTGTTTTTGTATAAAACAGAGCAGCCCTAACCTGCCGAGCGGGGAAAGACGACGCTGAGGAAGTGGAAATGCGAACGTTATCGGTGCGAGTGATGGTCGTGCAGGCGCCGCTGATCTCCACTGAGTGCAAGGGGCGTCTGTGGCAGGTTCACCGTGATCGAGATGATATGCACCTGAGAGTCATACTTTTCAATTGTGACATAAAGGGGACCAAGAGGCCTTCTGGAGAGCTTCTGGACGCACGTATTTGGGAACGATTAGAAAAGTTCTCTCGGGACCCCCGCCAGTTCAAGCAACCTGCGCCGAGATTTCCTGCTGGAAGCCGGAACGAGCTTCTGGGCTAACCTGCGGCTCCGGCTTCTTATTTGAAAAGCCCAGAGCTCTTCAAGAAATTACCCGTGAACTTGTAGCGTCCCACACCCAGATAGCAGCGCAAGACGTGTGGGAGACGCTTGCCAGAACGCTGGAAAGCATGCCTGGGGAGCTTGGAAGCTTCGAAGAGCAACGCTTCGAAGGAGCTTCGAGGGAGCCGCGCAGGATCCGCGCTGTCGGTTCAGACAAGTCGCCCGTGCATTGGCATGTTTTCGCTCGTGAGCGATTGTTTGAACTCTTCAATAATCCGTACTTGCTCCCCCATACCTGAGAGTTATTATTGTATCATGTGCCTAGCTCCATTGTAGGGGTGAAGCCGTTTGTGCGCCAGACGTTGCTCTGCCCAGCAACGCCCGAGGCATGCTGCTCACAAATCGTGATGGCGGTGCGAATTATTCACTCTTTCCGCAGTCAGCATTGTTTTGCTCATGCGCTGCCCGGCTCGACGATTGCTCCGAGTCGCCTGTCTCTCAGCGTACATATGCCACGGTTTTTGATCGCACCCCAGGCGCATGTGAGATCGGCGGCCGCGGCTCGTTGAATTAGATTGTGCTGCTTCATCGGCGCAGTGTCTTCGTGCACCGGGGAGAAATAGCAGATGTAGCCAGGAACCCGGTTTGTTGAATTGAGGGTCGCACGTTGAGTAGTCCCAGCGGGACAGGGGAGGGCATGCAGCAAAATCCATTGGTGGAGTTGTTGGGGAGAGTTAAGGATGCAAGGATCACTGGAGTGGAAGATGACATCTTGGCCCACATGGCCAGATTCTCAATGATTTTGCGTGAAAGGTGCAGTGAGGCATCGTTGATCTGCAGTATAAGAGAACGAGTCCAATCCTCTATCCGCCGCAATGACGGAGGGCGCATGTACTCGTGCAACCCGTGTTCGAAATTCGTTGCGGTTGAATTGGAGTGGAGGCTTTGGAGGGCCGACCCGGGATTTGGCGCAGGGGGTCGGCCGTCCGAGATATTTTGGCTCGAAGCTCGCCAAATGTTCTGGCGACCCTGGCGGCCTGGACGCGCTGCCTATGGACAGGTGGGCCCTTGAGTAGCTGTACATTTGCAGTCGCATCCTTGCATCACTGACACAGAAGAGCTGAATCATAGGAAAGAGGGGGGCGATGATGATGATGATGATGATGATGATGATGATGATGATGATGATGATGATGATGATGATGATGATGATGATGATGGTGATGGTGATGATGGTGATGATGGTGATGATGGTGATGATGGTGATGATGGTGATGATGGTGATGATGGTGATGGTGATGGTGATGGTGATGGCGATGGTGGTGATGGTGGTGATGATGCTGCTGATGATGATGACGATGATGATGCTGCTGATGATGATGACGATACTGCTGATGCTGATGCGGAAAGGGCTGCGAAATAGACGGAGCTGGGGAAGGCGCCGAGAAAGGTAATTTGAAGGAGGATGTTAAAGGGGTGTAAGGCCCTTACCGATGAGACAGTGGAGGCACGAGGGGCAGACACAGAGAAAGGAGAACAGACGTACGAGACTTCAAAGGCCAAGCATGCAGAGGAAGAGAGCCACGAGAGTGAGACCCAGCGCTCGGCTTTCGCTCTCTCCCCCTGCGGTACTGTTCCGGGATCTGTGCCGTGCTGTCGTCGCCGTCGATCCATTATGTTTGCCTTCATGGCCAGCACGAGTGCCTGCGTGAAGGGAAGCTTGACGGGCAGGGAAGGTTTGGGAGTGCGCCGTAGAACAGGACATCAGAGGAGAGAAGGGCTGCGTGACAGGGGAGGACCAGTGGGGCACCACAGAACATTCTCCAGGACTCAATACATCAAGCGAGACGTCGACTCAGCAGCTTAATATTTCATAATGTTTGCATGCCTCGATTAGTATGCCTTTTGCTGCAAATTGGAGGCGGGTGCTTTGTCTGAACCGTTGGAGCGTCGCCAGGGGAAAGATGATGCTCTGTCTTGCCAGATGAGAGACGGATGCTAGACAACCAAGGCCAGAATCAATGCAGATAGGGTGGACGGAGGAGAATCGTGAAGAATGCAGGTGAGACGATACAGTGCAGAATGCAGTATGTGGACGGAAAGCGCAGGGAGGCGAAGGCGAGACACCAATGGAAATTTCATGTTGCTTCAGGTGGAGACTCCTCGTTTGCGCTGGTAGCGCAGCTGGGCTGGCTGCAGTCTGCTACTTTCTGCTACGACCTGATGAGGAGGCCTACGTGGGAGACGTGATTGAGAATCGTTAGAGAGCGCGTTCAGCAGCATGTCCCTGGGTCGCGTGTCGCTGGAAGACTTTGCACAAGTCTCTCCGCATGTTTCGGCATGCGATTTCTGTTCGCGTGGATCGTCCTTTCGGAACCCTCTTCCTTCATGTGCCTAATCTCTTTGCACTTGGATTGCCGTCGCCAGACTCCGTACGACTCGCCTTGATCGAGCCGCCAACACCTCGAGCTCTCGAGCTCTTTCCCAGGATCCGAACCGTTATCGAACCGTCTTGGGGGCCCAGAAAGGCCCCCAGATGCCGAGATTCGCAAAAGCAAAACAGTTGGTGATAATGTTCAGTATGGAGAAAACGAAGATGGTGTCTGTGGTTACCTTAACGATGAGGTAGCCCCAGTACATGGGGCTAACCCAGTGGATGTGGGCGTTGATTGGGATTGAGCTGCATGATGTGGATGGCCAGCTCGCACGCTGCCCTCATCATGATCGCCCTTTCTTGGGGTGTCGGCGCGTGAGAGAGGGTGATCCACCAACTCTTCGACGTAATTTTCGGTACACTGACCCAGAAGGAAGGGTCCAGCTCGAGCTTGTCACACACAAAGATACGTTTTTCATTGAATTCAGGGCATTGCAATGACTGCAAGGTCTGCCGCTTTGCCGTCTGGTCTCGGATGAGACGACTCCCGACACGTATATGCATGCACTTTCTTTTCGGAATTTGGGAGCCTCCTGGCACACTTGGTGAAGGCGCCGTGGGAAGCAACATGCGGATCCACCTCACCGATGTCATCCGCATCATTCCTCTTCGGCACCACCTGCTTGAAACACCTCACTCCGTCAACCGCTCTCAAAGCATGCTCCACTTTCCCACAGTACCGCTTCAACAACCAGCATTATTGGAATGGCCTCCGGCCAGTGCCGCCGATCCGGGGCGTTCCGGATGATGATGATGACGAGGATGATGATGATGTTGATGATGATGATGATGTTGATGGTGATGATGATGGTGGTGATGAGGATGACGATGACGACGATGACGGCGATGACGATGACGATGCCGATGACGATGACGATGATGATGATGATGATGATGATGATGATGATGATCACGATAATGTTGATGATGATGATGCTGCTGCTGCTGATGATGATGATGATGATCATAAGGATGATGATGATGATGATGATGACTATGATGACGACGACGATGATGATGATGATGATGGTGATGATGATCATGATCATGATCATGATCATGATGATGATGATGATGATGATGATGATGATGATGATGATGATGGTGGTTATTGGTGGTGGTGGTGGTGGTGGTGATGATGATGATGATGATGATGATGATGATGATGATGATGATGATGTTGATGCTGATGATGATGATGATGATGATGATGATGATGATGATGATGATGATGATGATGATGATGATGATGATGATGATGATGATGATGATGATGATGATGATGATGATGATGATGATGATGATGATGATGATGATGATGATGATGATGATGATGATGATGATGATGATGATGATGATGATGATGCTGATGTTGAGGCAGCTTTTGAGCTTCTTGGGGGCCTTTGGGGGGTCCTTGGGGGCCAGTTGGGGCCTTTTGGGGCCTCTTGGGGGCGTCTTGGGGCCTCCTGGGGGCCTCCTGGGCCGTCTTGGGCCCTTCTTGGGCCGTCTTGGAGCCCTTTTGGGCGCCTCTTGGGCCCGTCCTGGAGCCCTCTTGCGCCGTCTTGGGGGCCTCCTGGGCCTGCGTAAGCCCTTCTTAGGCCGTCTTGGAGCCTTTTTGAGGGCCCCTTGAGCCGTTTGGACACTGTGAAGGCCCAAGAGGCGAACATGCTAAAAATGTAGGTTTCCTAAGGGAAATCTGTGGAAGCCCCCCCCCCCCCCCCTACCCCGGCAGAGCCACCCCGGCCCACCCCCCCCTTCAACTCACACGCCGGATCGGCGGATTTGTCGAACGTCACCGTCATAGCGATGTCGTCTTGCACAAGATCTATGTTCAGGTTCGTCAGCGATCTATCGTCCATGTACGCCTGGCCACTGTTCGGCGGCCAAGGCGTGAGGACTGCGATCATACCTTCTGGTGCCACTGAATCCCCTTGTGGGAGACCCCTGGCTGGATCTATTGGTGTTGCATAATGTCCACCAACACTTAATGTCCGAGGGCCTGCCCAGGCTGCCACTGCGGTGTTGACCACCGTGTCTGGAGTAGCACAGGCCTGGGGAGTTGCTTCACCAATCTCATGGTCAATGAACTTGTACGCTCGTGCTAAATCCAGCTCCGCACCCGCATCCGACTGCGTAACATCCACAAGCCACTGTGAAATAGCGTGCACCACACTGACGCCACGCTTTCCTGCCCATTATTTCTCACACGGTTGTGGGATGGCCGATGCGAGCGCATTGAGCCAGCATCGGACCAAGATGGATCCGACAGAGATTGGGCGCATGTCTGAGTCTCCCTCAGGGATGCCCACCACCCTCCAAGGGAAGTATCTGATCAAGAAAATCTCATGATGTGTTGCCTTTTTTCATACCCGCGCTTCATACAATTCCGGCACCAACTCTGGGAATCAGTTATTGATTGTTCCCAACCGTCCTGTGGTGTTGGGTCCTCGTTTTGAAGAGACAGCGCCCCGCGTCCTTCCTCCTTCCTCCTCCCCCTCCTCCCTCCTCCCTCCTCCCACCATCATCCTCGTCATCATCATCGTCGTCATCATCACCGTCATCACCATCATCGTCATAATCCCGCACACCCATTTCGGAACACCTCTCACACGTTTCGTGGCCCCATAGGGAGCTCCGCCGAGGGTCCCAGTGGGTGTGCCCGCATGCGTCCCGCACACCCATTTCGGCACACCCCTCACACGTTTCGTGGCCCCATAGGGAACTCCACCGAAGGTCCCAGTGGGTGTGCCCGCATGCGTCCCCACCCATTTCACACCCCTCACGCGCTTCGTGGCCCCATACAAGTTCCACCGAAGGTCCCAGTGGGTGTGCCCGCATGCGTCCCGCACACCCATTTCGGCACACCCCTCACACGTTTCGTGGCCCCATAGGGAGCTCCACCGAAGGTCCCAGAGGGTGTGCCCGCATGCGTCCCGCACACCCATTTCGGCACACCCCTCACACGTTTCGTGGCCCCATAGGGAGCTCCACCGACGGTCCCAGTGGGTGTGCCCGCATGCGTCCCGCACACCCATTTCGGCACACCCCTCACACTTTTGTGGCCCCATAGGGAGCTCCACCGAAGGTCCCAGTGGGTGTGCCCGCATGCGTCCCGCACACCCGGCACACCCCTCACACGTTTCGTGCCCCACAGCTCCACTCATGCGTCCCGCACACCCATTTCGGCACACCCCTCACACGTTTCTCGGCCCCAGAGCGCCACCGAAGGTCCCAGTGGGTGTGCCCGCATGCGTCCCGCGCACCCATTTCGGCACACCCCTCACACGTTTCGTGGCCCCATAGGGAGCTCCACCGAAGGTCCCAGTGGGTGCGCCCGCATGCGTCCCGCACACCCATTTCGGCACACCCCTCACACGTTTCGTGGCCCCATAGGGAGCTCCACCGAAGGTCCCAGTGGGTGTGCCCGCATGCGTCCCGCACACCCATTTCGGCACACCCCTCACACGTTTCGTGGCCCCATAGGGAGCTCCACCGAAGGTCTCAGTGGGTGTGCCCGCATGCGTCCCGCACACCCATTTCGACACACCCCTCACACGTTTCGTGGTCCCATAGGAAGCTCCACCGAAGGTCCCAGTGGGTGTGCCCGTATGCGCCCCGCACACACATGTCGGCACACCCCTCACACGTTTCGTGGTTCCATAGTGTTCCACCGAAGGTCCCAGTGGGTGTGCCCGCATGCGTCCCGCACACCCATTTCGGCACACCCCCTCACACGTTTCGTGGCCCCATCGGGAGCTCCACCGAAGGTCCCAGTGGGTGTGCCCGCATGCGTCCCGCACACCCATTTCGGCACACCCCCTCACGCGTTTCGTGGCCCCATAGGAGCTCCCACCGAAGGTCCCAGTGGGTGTGCCCACATGCGTCCCGCACACCCATTTCGGCACACCCCTCACGCGTTTCGTGGCCCTATAGGGAGCGCCACCGAAGAAGATGTTCACAATTGCGGTACTCACAACTGCATATGGTTGGGTCCTTCGCCAGGATAAGTTTGATCTCGTTGGCCTCCCATCCATCAAACCTTGTTGAACCTGGAGCCTTGCTAGGATCTGATCGAAGGACTGCGCGGTAGGAGCCCACGCCTGGCCATACATGGATTGCGGACATTGAACTTGAGCTGCATGCTGTCTCCACTTGCGCACGTGCCCTTATACTTTTTCACGATGGTCCGGCGGACACCACTGAGCCTTCCATATCTCGTGCATCTCCTGTGGCCCGAACGATGTTGCTGGTGCCGTCGGTCTGAAGAGTGGCGTCGCCAACTTATGCAAATCTGTATTTCACGTCGCGAACCGCTTTTTCCACTCCTTCGTCTTTTGCTTCTGGATCTTGACATTCCCCGCCGTGATGCCACTCGACACTGAGTCCAAGGCGTCGGCATATGTAAGAAGCCCATATCCAGTTGACTTGAGTAGACCGTCAAACACTGCCTGCGCAGACTGCTTCACATGCTTCGCCTCCAGCAACTCTGACGGGTTGTGCCCATTGCCAATCCTCACATGATGTGTGAAGCGCCGATGGAGTCGAAGTAACCTTCTCCATGCAATCGTTTGATCAATGCGGTGTATTGGTCCAGAACCAATTGGCTGCATCGTTGGGAGTGATCCCTTGGCTCTTTCTGCTTGTCGCTCCACTGCCACGTAGTCCCTCTCCACTCCAAAAGCTATAGCAAGTTCAGCTCGAGAATGGCACAATTTCCACTGGGCACCGTCGCCTCCAGAGTAAGGGCCACGTCATGCGCAGCAGGGAGCCGTCGATCGAGTTCTGCCTGTAGGGCGCCCCTCTCGTCTCCTCCAGGTAAACGTTCCAGCACATACTTCGCTGTATGATGGAGCCAACTGTTTTGAACTGCGTGCTGGTATGGGCCACCCGCTTTTCTTTTAACTTTGTTCCTCCAGGTATTCGCTCAACTGACTCCTCCACCGGTGGAAGCACGGGATCTCCACCAGCAGGAAGAGGTGCAGGTACAGGTACGTGTGCTGTTGGACGTCGGCGTCCCCGCGCAGCAGCAGCTGGCCGTCGGCGAAGAGCCACGGGCACTACTATACGTGGCTTGCGTCCCAGAGCCAATTGTTTCGCTTTGCTCGCAGCTCGTTTCTCTTTGGACCTCTGCGACATCGGATTTCCCTTCCGCAGCATTGAGTAGATAGCTATCTTAGTCATTCTCGATGTCCTCCTCTTGCAAAGTCGAACGCCTTATTCTCGCCAAGTCACGCTGACCACCGCAACGTGTGCAGGTGTGCACGCTAGATAAGTACCCACGACTCACTACCCTCCAAGACAAGGCATATTGCATCTCGGATATTTTGGGACTGTTTGTCCGGCCAACGTTGACGTGCTTGCGAAGCTCGCCGTCGACCGACTCGAATCTTGGCAGTCATGGCGGTGTGTCTGGTATTCTCTCGACTAGATTCCTTGGACTTGCTTGGCGGTCTACCTCCATTACAATATTTCCAATGGGCTCGAGCTTACTGGGCTCGGGCACGAGCCGTCTCTGCAGTCGGCATCCACTCACGTGATTGACACTTGAAGCGTGCTCCTTTGGAGTAGTCCAACGGTGGGGTATCCTCCACAGCCGCTTGATAATCATCATCAGGAACTGCTGGCTCTCGCGCTCCGAGCAAGCTTCGAGCTTCAGCAATATCCTTCCTCGTTTTTGATGTCTTGGTCGTCTTGATGCTCTTTGTGGATGCTCCGAACAATGACGTGGCACTCCTCGCCGAAGAAGCTTCATATACATTGGAACGAACACCCAACAAGCTACGAGCATCGTCCTCATTCATCTCTGGGACTGCTTTCGAGGATGAAGACAGTGAGGCGCTCTGTTTCCCTCCGCCAGCGAAGACATCAGGATATGGTAAGGCCCCTTCCCTCCACGGTTTTTCCCATCTCAGGTGTGAAACTTCTTTTGGCGACCAAAAGACAATAATGCTTACCTTTCAGCGACAGCCAGACTTTATGATTGTACTTCGTGGGGCTGCCATCAGCTTTGAGCGCAGCTGCCATAGCACGTACACACTGTGTGTCCTCCATCTCCCAGTCGTAGCACCATACGTTTTTATGTTCGCATTAAGCTCTGCAACCACAAGTAACCGTAATCCTCGCTGGACCTGAGTACTTTGGGTTAGGCCTGTGCGTTTTCCAATCCAATTCCACAAGCAATGGCATCGCAATCACCTTCACCTCCCAAGTCCTGCTGATCCATGTGGCCCTGCCACGGCGGTAGCGGTAGTGCACGCGGCATCTTCGATTTGGGCCCCCTTCTTGCCGGCGTTGGCTTCCGTTCGCCAGCGCCATAAGCATCAGCCTCGGGAGCTGCTGGTGCGCATCCAGGGTCTTCAGGTGGATGTGCATATTCGATCATACCTTCTGCCGCTGGCGGCAGCCAGATGGGCGCAGCAACGCCCGCGCATTTTGAGCTTTGGCAACCTTCTGCTTCTTGTCCGTCGCACTTCTCGTCGAACCCTTGGCCAAGCTCACAATGGCCCCCGAAGAGAAGTGATGCGCTTTGTCGCTGTTTGCCCTGGCCGGGGCCAAGTCGCCTCTGGAAAACCACGTTCTTCTCCCAGTATGTGAGACAGACGTCACATCTTGGAAACCTCTCTGCGCTGCCCACGTAGTCACTTCGACGGGATACGACCACTCTGGCGGCGCTCGCTGCAGGGCCCACCGCGGTAACAGGTCACGTCCTCCGATCTGCTTGTCACTGAGCACTCGAAGTGGGGTGTCGTCTGGAGGTCGGTGCAGCATGCGCACTGAAGCGTCAGCTCTCGCTTGAAACACTCTCTTCCAATAAGCTGAATTCGTCCCCTCACCCCTCCTCTTGAACCAGCGCGGTAGGAGGGTGGACTTCTGATGGTTGAGGAACACTGCATCTCGGCAATTCAGTTCGCAATAGAGCGCCCACTTCCGCAGTCTTCACAATCAGCAGCATCTTGATCCCAGACTCGTAGTTGATGGCCCCCTTGGTCCGCGCGGTGGACTTCGTGAGCTCTGCATCGAGGACCACGCTCGGCAATGATGCTGGCTTCTGGGCTGCGCGCCCAAAGACGTCATCATCGCTGAACTCCCTCGCACAAGTCAATCGAACGAGCGTGGTCGGCGTAGGCACAGTCACGTACGTCGCTCATCATTCGCACCAGCAGGCAGGCCCGTCCGAGTCGGCGCCTCCTGGCCCTCAGTGATGATACCAATCTCCGCATGAATCAACACTGCGTCTTTCACCGCTCCCTCCGCGAGAGCATCATCACATATCTCACATATGGCAAATGCCGCCGACTCGCCGCAAGCCGCTGCCATCCATTGTCGTGCTGCTCGGAACTCACGCATGTTGTTGCATACTATCACGGGCGGCTTCTTCACAGCTCGATCTGACAAGGACACCGCTGGCCACAGTGGTGAAACCCCTAGTCAGACTGAACCAATCTCGGCGTAGGCTTCATCGCCTGAATGCTGGCGATGAGGCATCAGGCTTGCTCGCTGGACCAGCAGCTCCGCACGGTTCCCGTAACTGTAGCATGACCTGCTTCTCCGTGGGAATGTGGCCCATGTTGTCGATCTTGGCAAGCATGCGCCGTATCTTCCTGAGACCAATGGGCTCCTTGTTCACACGCACCTTCTTCTGCTTCTTGGGCGCAGGCTGCTTCACCTCGAAGGCAAAGTCCGACAGAAGTTCTTTCGATTGTGTTGCTGCGCACAACCGCTTCACGGTCGCCGTGAGCTGCTCGATTTGGCCAGACATCTGCTTCACCTGGTGTCCCCGTCTAAGTTTCACACGCTGACCACCTCGTCCTCCACCTCCGCCAAGCAGAGGATCCGCACAAAACTTGCTTGTCGGCAGTGACATCCCCGCGCACCGCCTCGAAGCAGAACGGACCCCCTGCACCCGCGACAAAGATTTCCCATTATGCAGCACTGATCTCTTGCGCCTCCAGGGCGCGCTTGACGGTGTGGTCTGCCTCAGTACCGGGAATTGTCCCCTCATTGCCACGGCGGAGACGAACAGCTTTGGTGATGATGTTCAATAGTGATAGGACTGGCCAGAGGTCCGCGCCAGGCAGGCCTAGGATGCGCTCTAGAGCTTGCGGTTGCGCCCCTTGTATCCCTTCCCGGCCCACGAGGTCTGAGAGATTCCAGATTCATTCTGATTGGGGCTCGCCTTTGCCAGGAGCGGTGTGTATGCCTTCGGCTTTTGGCCCAGCCATGGTGGGGGGCGTCTACACCACATCACTCCTCCGCTCCTGGGCCTAGGAAGGTTGGGTCTTGCCAGTGGCGTTTCGCACGTATAGACCTCTTCGCCCGACCGTTCATCGTCACCTGCCTTGCTCCCCTCCTCGTGTGGGTGGCGCACGCATTAGTGGGTGGCACGATGGGAGGGGCGGCCTTTTGAGAAAGGTGGGGGATGTCCTACAGAAGCCATGCGCCCTCTTAGAAGTGGCCAAAGGCTTCTAAGGAGGCCTCTCGGAGCCAGCAGGGCTTCCAAGAAACCCCCAGGCCATCTCAGAAGCTCCCCCCGTACTCTTAGAAGACCGCCTCCCTTCGCGCCACCCCCCCGCGCGCGCCGACAGGCGTGACGGGGGGCGCGGGGACCCGCAGGTGACCTGCGTCTTCGCCGACGCGCGTTCCAGCGGGCAGCTGCTGTGCAGGGTGAAGGCGCCGCGGCGGGCGAGCGGAGCGCACCTGCGAAGGCTGGGCGTCGCCGCCCCCGCCGCCGTCGTGGCCACTGCGCTCTTCGAGTCGGACATCACGGGAGGGGGTCCACGAAGGGTGTGTGGACCAAGGGTGTACGGATATCATGGCCAGGGCCATGGGATCTCCCAGATCTCATCGCCCCTTCTTCTTCCTTCACTGCGTTCCCTGACCACCCCCTCGTCCGCGCACGTGCCTCGGTCCATGATGCGCCAGGCCCCCCTCGTCCTGTCCACCCCTCGCATCGGCGCACCCGACAAGGGAGGGGCGGGTAAAATGTTTGCAGCCGCCTCCGTCACCCACAGGCGCCAGGGAAAATTGGTCGCGTGCAGCTGATGGCGTATCCGCCCCTTTGGTGTGCCCCCCTTTCGTCCGACCCGAGTTCTGGGATGTATCTTTGGCGCGACGAGGTAATCACGCCTTCTCAGGGACCTTCTGGGCCTCTTCGGGGCGCTGTGCCGTCGTGGTCGTCGCCGTGGTCCTGACGTCGTGGTCGTCCTCGTCTCGAGCTCAAGGTCGTCGTCGTCGTCGTCCCGAGTCGTCCCGCCGTCGTGGTCATCGCCGCCGCCGCGGCGGGGCACGCCCCGCGCTAGGCTGGTGGTTGCGGCTGGCATCCAGGGGCACGTGTCGCTCTCGGCTGATTGGGGTCGAACCTGTGGGGGACGGCTTCTTGGGAGGGCTTCAGGAAGAGGATAACCAGACACCCAATGATTCAGAGGAGGATAACATACAGATGCCGAAACCCTCCCCTTGTCGCCACGCCTAGCCAGACCGCGCCCCAAGGAGATGTCTTTGGTCGGAGGTTGGCTTGTGGGAGAGGCGAGGCGAAGTTGTGCGAGTTTCTGCCCTAGTAGAGGTCAAGTCAGGTCAAAATAAGGCGTCCGGCCCAGGCGTTGGGCCTCGCCCCGTTGGTTGTCCCGATGGTTGTCCCCATGGTTGTTTCGATGATTGTCCCGAGCGTTGTTTCGATGGTTGTCCCGATGGTTTCGCAGAATTACCCTGCGACGTACCCAACCCTTTCTATACATGTGGTGGTTACACTCGGGACCACTCAATGCTGACGGGCATGCTGAAAAACCCGCAGTGCGGAAGAAGGGCACCCATCAGTGAACTCAGAAGAGCGCAGCAAGAAGAGCAGCGGCAACGGTAACACGTACCTCTGCTGGGCCTCACAGGAGCCCACGAAAGTGGCGACTGATGCGCAGATCGCAGCCCCCCAGGGCACCACGAGGTCTCGAGGTGGTCCGCGTGGGACCCACCTCCGCTGGGCCTCCCAGGAGCCCACGAAAGTGGCGACAGTTGCGCAGAACGCAGCCCCCCAGGGCACCACGAGGTCTCGAGGTGGTCCGCGTGGGACCCACCTCCGCTGGGCATCCCAGGAGCCCACGAAAGTGGCGACTGTTGCGCAGATCGCAGCCCCCAGGGCGCCGCGAGGTCTCGAGGTGGTCCGCGTGGGACCCACCTCCGCTGGGCCTCCCAGGAGCCCACGAAAGTGGCGACAGTTGCGCAGATCGCAGCCCCCAGGGCACCGCGAGGTCTCGAGGTGGTCCGCGTGGGACCCACCTCCGCTGGGCCTCCCAGGAGCCCACGAAAGTGGCGACAGCAGGATGGCGACAAGATCGCAGCCCCCAGGGCACCGCGAGGTCTCGAGGTGGTCCGCGTGGGACCCACCTCCGCTGGGCCTCCCAGGAGCCCACGAAAGTGGCGACAGTTGCGCAGATCGCAGCCCCCAGGGCGCCGCGAGGTCTCGAGGTGGTCCGCGTGGGACCCACCTCCGCTGGGCCTCCCAGGAGCCCACGAACGTGGCGACAGTTGCGCAGATCGCAGCCCCCAGGGCGCCGCGAGTTCTCGAGGTGCTCCGCGTGGGACCCACTTCCACTGGGCCTCCCAGGAGCCCACGAAAGTGGCGACAGTTGCGCAGATCGCAGCCCCCAGGGCACCGCGAGGTCTCGAGGTGGTCCGCGTGGGACCCACCTCCGCTGGGCCTCCCAGGAGCCCACGAAAGTGGCGACAGTTGCGCAGATCGCAGCCCCCAGAGCACCGCGAGGTCTCGCGGTGGTCCGCGGTGGACCCTCCGTTGGGCCTCCCAGGAGCAAACGAAAGTGGCGACAGTTGCGCAGATCGCAGCCCCCAGGGCGCCGCGAGGTCTCGAGGTGGTCCGCGTGGGACCCACCTCCGCTGGGCCTCCCAGGAGTCCACGAAAGTGGCGACAGTTGCGCAGATCGCAGACTCCAGGGCACCGCGAGGTCTCGAGATGATCCGCGTGGGACCCACCTCCGCTGGGCTTCCCAGGAGCCCACGAAAGTGGCGACAGTTGCGCAGATCGCAGCCTCCAGGGCACCGCGAGGTCTCGAGATGATCCGCGTGGGATCCACCTCCGCTGGGCCTCCCAGGAGCCCAAGAAAGTGGCGACAGTTGCGCAGATCGCAGCCCGACGGCACGAGAGAAGAGGAGAGGGGAACACAGGAGACAGAAGAGGAGGAGGGGAGGAGGGCAGGGGAGGAAAAGGACGGGGCGACCGCACTGCACTATTCAAAGCGAGTACCCAACCTTAGGAAGGTTGGGAGTACCCAACCTTGGGAGGTCCGCGCGGATTTCTTGGATCAGCGTTGGACCCCCTGGCGGCGCCGGAGGCGCAGAAGCTGGCGCGCTCCGCGCTCCAGGGGGGTGTCCAGCTCCGATCCAAGAAATCCGCGTGGGCCTCAGTTTCTTGTTTCTCCATGGTTGGCCCGATGGTTGTCCCGATGATTGTCCTGACAACTGTCGCGGTGTTTGTCCCGATGCTTGTCCCAAGTTTTGTCCTGATGCTTGTCCCGATGCTTATCTCGATCTTTGTCCCGATGGTTGTCCCAGATGTTGTCCCGACTGTTGCTTCGACGGTTGTTCCTATGGATGCCCCGATTGTTGTCCCCGTGATTGTCCTCGTTGTTCCCCACCTGTTTCGCGGGGTTCTGGTTTTCTTCTCACCCGCGTCACACAGCACAGCGCACCACAGTGCAGCAGAGCACAGCACAGCTCAGCACAGCACACAGCACACACACAGCACAGCACAGCACAGCACAGCACGACCCGCAGGGGGTGAGGATATTTCCCTGGCAATTTCAATTCCCTCGACACCACAAGGGGTGCGCTGGTCCCCGAGCGCGGCGTCTATGCGGGCCATGGCGCACGGCACAGCAGGCGTGGCACTTTCTCGACACCAGATGGGGTGCGCAGGGAGTTGTCTCTCACCGCGGCCGCTATGCGCGCCTCTCGTCCAAGCACGGCAGGCGTGGCACTTTCTCGACACCAAATGGGGTGCGCAGGGGGTGGTATCTAACCGCGGTCGCTATGCACGCCTCTCGTCCAGGCACAGCAGGCCTGGCACTTCCTCGACACCAAATGGGGTGCGCAGAGGGTGGTCTATCACCGCGGCCGCCATGCGCGCCTCTCGTCCAGGGCATAGCAGGCGTGGCACTCTCTCAACACCAGAAGAGGGTGCGCATGGGGTGGTCTCTCACCGCGGCCGCTATGCGCGCCTCTCGTCCAAGCACGGCAGGCGTGGCACTTTCTCGGCACCAGATGGGGTGCGCACGGGGTGGTTTCTCACCGCGGCCGTTATGCGCGCCGCTCGTCCAGGCAAAGCAGGCGTGGCATCTTCTCGACATTCGAGGGGGTGCGCATGGGGTCGTCTCTCACCGCGGCCGCTACGCGTGCCTCTCGTCCAGGCACAGCACGCGTGGCACTTTCTCGACACCAGAGTGGGTTTGCAGGGGTGGTCTCCCATCGCGGCCGCTATGCGCGCCTCTCGTCCAGTTTTGTTGCTGGCGTGGCACTTTCTCGACACCAGATGGGGTGCGCAGGGAGTTGTCTCTCACCGCGGCCGCTATGCGCGCCTCTCGTCCAGGGCATAGCAGGCGTGGCACTTTCTCGACACCATAAAAGGTGCGCAAAGAGTGGTATTTCACCGCGGCCGCTATCCGTGCCGGTCGTCCAGGGCATAGCAGGCGTGGCATCTTCCCGACATTAGAGGGGGTGCGCAAAGGGTGGTCCCTGAGCGCGGTCGCTGTCCGTGCCGGTCGTCCAGGGTTTTGCTGTCCGCGTGGTAGTAGTAGTAGTAGTAGTAGTAGTAGTAGTAGTAGTAGTAGTAGTAGTAGTAGTAGTAGTAGTAGTAGTAGTAGTAGTAGTAGTAGTAGTAGTAGTAGTATAGTAGTAGTAGTAGTAGTAGTAGTAGTAGTAGTAGTAGTAGTAGTAGTAGTAGTAGTAGTAGTAGTAGTAGTAGTAGTAGTAGTAGTAGTAGTAGTAGTAGTAGTAGTAGTCGTAGTCGTAGTAGTAGTAGTAGTAGTAGTAGTAGTAGTAGTAGTAGTAGTCGTAGTAGTAGTCGTAGTCGTAGTCGTAGTAGTAGTCGTAGTCGTAGTAGTCGTAGTAGTAGTAGTAGTAGTAGTAGTAGTAGTAGTAGTAGTAGTAGTAGTAGTAGTAGTAGTAGTAGTAGTAGTAGTAGTAGTAGTAGTAGTAGTAGTAGTAGTAGTAGTAGTAGTAGTAGTAGTAGTAGTAGTAGTAGTAGTAAGTAGTAAGTAGTAAGTAGTAAGTAGTAAGTAGTAAGTAGTAAATAGTAAGTAGTACGTAGCACGTAGTACGTAGTACGTAGTAGTAGTAGTAGTAGTAGTAGTAGTAGTAGGAGTAGGGAGTAGGTAGTAGGTAGTAGTAGTAGTAGTAGTAGTAGGTAAGTAGGTGGTAGGTAATTAGGGAGTAGGGAGTAGGTAGTAGGTAGTAGGTTTTAGTAGTAGTAGTAGTAAGTAGTAGTAGTAGTACGTAAAGTGTAGTAGTAGTAAGTAGTAGGTAGTAGTAGTAGTACGTACAAGTAGTACGAGTCGTAGTAGTAGTAGGTTGGTAGTGTAGTAGTAGTAGTATCGTAAGTCGTAGTCGTAGTCGTAGTCGTAGTCGTAGTACGTAGTCGTAGTCGTAGTGTAGTCGTAGTAGTCGTAGTCGTATAGTTTGTAGTAGTAGTAGTAGAGTAGTAGTGTAGTAGTAAAATCGTAGTCCGTAGTAGTAGTTAGTAAGTATAAGTAGTAGTAGTAGTAGTGTAGTCGTAGTCGTGTCGTAGTCGTATAGTCGTAGTCGTAGTCGTAGTCGGAGTCGTAGGTACGTCGTAGTCGTAGTCGTAGTCGTAGTCGTAGTCGTAGTCGTAGTATTCTGAGGTTAGTAGTAGTAGTTAGTAGGTAGTAGTAGTAGTAGTAGTAGTAGTAGTAGTAGTAGTAGTAGTAGCAGTAGTAGTAGTAGTAGTCGTAGTTAGTCG